GCGCTGCGGCCTCCGCCCACTGCTCCCTCCGTTGGAGCAGCATCCCGAGCAGTGTGTGGGTGGCACTGCTCCGCCAACATCTGTTACCTCATGTTTTCCTTCTCTCTTTTCCGGGAAAGCTGACGGTTAACCGCGCGTAACCCCAGGGTTGTGCAAAGCGAGGGGGAGGCCTGGATGGACCCACATGCAGAGTGCTGTGCTGGCTGTGCTGCCGTGCTCACCTGCCTGGGAGCAGCGTGGGGAGCACGTGGGATGAGGTCACATTTGGATCCTGGTCTTGGGACTGCCCTGTGCAGGGCCAGGAGTTGGACATGGGTGATGCTCTTGTGTCCCTTCTGACTCTGTGAGATCTCTTTGGGGAGTTTTGTGGCACTTCACAGCTGCAGTGCCAACGATATTCCAGCACAGCTGGAGATCACTTCCCACTGGCCAAAGCCTTGGGAAGAGAATAGCTGTGTCTGAGGGATGTACCTGCAGCTGTGTCACCTGGGGGCAGCTCCTGTCAGTGCTCTGCCACACTGAGCAGGCTGTTTACTGCTCAGCCCCGATGACAGGCTCCTCTGCAGCTCAGGACTTTATCCAAAACATCGTGTACTTGATGACGAGAGGCTTTGCCTGATAGGAATGTAGCCTTTGCCCTCGGTCACAAGAGCTCGCAGCACAGATGGACTTTGCCAGGCAGAACACTCGTGTGCTCCCGCAGCCAGATTGTGGGAGGGCAGGGAGAAGTCATCTGATAAAAGTGAACATCCTGGCCAGCTCTTCCAGCAGGATTATGTTGCTTGCAATTGCCAAGGGGCCCTGCTAGAACATCCCGTGTTGGAGGCTCCCCCAGCTCTTGTGTAACCCTGTGGGTAGTGGGGGAGGAGGGTGGAGGTGAGTTTGGGCTCAGGGGGGTCTGGTTCCTGTGCTCCTGCCCCATCCCTCTAATTTTAGGCTGCTTTTGTAGACCTGATCCCAGTGCTAACGTTGACATCTATCAGGGTCTTAAACTGGAGGGAGAAACCTGCCTGAGTACCATCAGTGGGTCCCTGGTGCTGCACCACTTCCAACCAGAGCAGCCTGGGGTCCTGTCGCTGCTCCACCAGCCAGGAGCATTTGTCCCTGCCATCGCGGCTCAGACCCCCAGTGCTGCAGTGGCACACGTGGCTGGGAGCTGCAGGTGCCTCGTACTAACCTGGTGTTTTTCTCTCTTGTCTGATTTTCAAGAGTCCATCGTAGGGAACTGCATGGACAGGAGCTCCCCCGGCCAAGCCATGCAGGTGCCTGACCACAACGGCCTGGGCTACGCCGTGCGCCCCGGCTGCAGCGAGCACCCGCGGCCCAGGGCCCTGCAGAGACATCACACCATCCAGAACAGTGATGATGCCTACGTAGGTGCCTTTGCCTCTGAGGTGATACAGTGAAACAGCCCAGGCTGCCTCTGGCCTGGCTCTCGGTTCTGCAGTGCTGTGAAGGAGCTGGTCGTGGCAGCCCAGACCTCTCTGCTCTGCTCCCCGTGGGGTTTGGGGTGCTGGGAACTTCCCTGCCCAAAGCTTGATATGTTCTTTGCTACAGCTCCCTTGTGCTGTAGATGAGAAAGGCAACTTCCCTGTTTCAGTGGTGCCCAGTGACAGGACAAGGAGCAGTGGCCATGAACTAACACAAGAAGTTCCACCTCACCATGAGGAAGAACTTCTTTCCATGGAGGGTGGCAGAGCACTGGAGCAGGTGCCCAGGGAGGGCGTGGAGTCTCTCTCCCCCAGACATTCAAACCCCTCCTGACACAGTCCTGTAGGGCTGGATAGGTGATCTCCAGAGGGCCCTACTGTGCTGTGATTCTGTTAGTTCAGAGGGATTTGCACTGTCCAGTCCATGCTCCTGTAGAGGGGACCCTGGCTGCACCCAGGCTGTGCCTGATGCAGTTGCTGCCCTTACAGACCCTCACACAAGGTCTGCAGGAGCTCCCTGAGATCCGGGGGGCAGTGGGGCTCCTCTCCCCAGCCCCCCTTGACGTGTGTCCTGCTGTCTCCACAGGTGCAGTTAGATAACTTGCCTGGAATGAGTTTAATGGCAGGCAAAGCTCTCAGCTCTGCCCGGATGTCGGACGCTGTCCTCAGCCAGTCGTCGCTCATGGCCAGTCAGCAGCTGCGCGACAGGGAGAGCGAGGGTGAGCACCTGGGCAGGTGGGCAGGGGGCTGAGAGCACCAGCTTGATCTGTGCTGCAAGGTCACCTCTCTCTGCCCTTGCAGAATGTGGGGAGAGTTTGGAAGGTCAAGAGCACCCCAACCTGGGTGATGGCAGCCCACACCTCAACACCTCCTGTTACCCCTCCACGTGTATCACGGACGTCCTGCTGAGCTACAAGCACCCGGAGGTGCCCTTTGGGATGGAGCAGGCAGGGGTGTAACCAGGAGGGAGTGAGTATCCCTGTCCTTCTCTCCACACACACACCTGGGGCTGTCTCTGTGGCCTCAGTTCTGTGGGTCTCCTTCCCTGCTCCCCAGCTGTGGGGCCGTCAGCTCTGAGCTCCCACACTGGGGCTGTCTGTTGTCCCCATGTTTCCCTTCACTGCATGCTCACCCTTCTGGGGTGCAGCTGGTGGGCCTGGGAATGGTAGAAGATTGTGGGAGCAGACCTGGTGTCTCCTGACGTCTGTTTCCTCTCTCTTGCAGGGTTTGTGTACAGCTTTGAAACGAAAAGGTCCATTTTAAACCAACAGTATCTAGCAGCATTGCGCCAAATTGCCGTAGTATTTCTGACTAACTGGAATACCATGGCCCCTTTCCTCATCCTCACCTCATCCAGTGTGTCGTTCCTTTGGGTTCTTTCATTTCTGCCACACTTGCCTGTGCCTCCAGCTCCCAGGAGCGCCGGCGCTGGAGCC